TCTGACTATAAATATAATCATTCATTTTGTGGGTTAGACCAAATCTGAAAACTGTGAAAACTCTTCAGGAAAGGCAGATGTATTATTCAACATCTTTTATTTGTTGGTTAATTCAGTAACTTTTTTAATGCATTCCACAAAGTAGACATTTTCTCATGAAATGTAATTGACTTCAAATTTGGTATTATATAGAGATTTTTCTTAAAAGATTCTGGAGAACATTTCCTGAGGGGAAAAGGTTGCTATATTAATTAGCTTTTCTGTTGCTGTGGCAATTACCTCACACCCACAACTTAAAGGAAGAGAGGTTTCTTTGGCTATGGTTTCAGAGGACTCAGTCCATGATTACCTGGGTCCAAGGTAGGAATATCATGGCAGAAAAACCTAGAAAAGGAAAGATGTGAAGATGTTTGGTTCATGCCAGTAGGAAGCAGGACAGGAGAACAATGCCAGAGAGGAAAAGACCAGGGACCTACGCTCCAGGGAACACCTCCTTGACATACATAGACATACCCTAAGTATACTTGTAGTCAATCAAGTTGACAAGCTTAATTATCTCATTCTACCCTTTATGGACTTGACATCCAATTGCATCTCTTCAAACCATTTCCAAATAAAGATAACAGCAAGTTCATAATTCTACATAATATAATAACAAGTATTCTGCATACAATCAAAAATGCATAATTCTTCCCAAAATTCTCAACAGTTCCAGCATTGCTCAAAAGTCCAAGGGAAAGTTTCCTTTGAGATTCAATGCAAACTCAGCATTGAACCTCTGTAAGATTTTAAAAACAGGTTACTTAATCCCAATATACAGTGGTACAGGATAACTATTGCTATTCCAAAGGGAGAAATAGGGGTAGAAAAGAATAGGACCAAAGCAAGACTAATATCCAGCAGGGTAAACATTAAGTGCTGTAGCTCTATCTCTAGTATCCAGGACACATGGTGGTAAGATATATCCTTGCTGGCTTCTCTTAGGCTGGTTGTACTTACTATCTGAGGCTTTGCTCACCAGACATCTCACATTCCTAGCAGTTTCAATTTCCAAGGGTCTCTGCTGCATCTTTAACTTCATTTCCACAGCTTCAATTGTCTACCTCTTAAGAATGTTGCCTTGCTACCCAGGCCTTCCTTAAAATATGGGTGGAAGCCTCTATGAGCCCACAACTCTTGCATTCTGCCTTCCCGAACAACTAGCATCATGTGGAGAATGGGAAAGTCCGCTGGCAGCATGTACAATAGCTGGGTACCCCTCAGCCCATGATTGCAGCAGCTTCTGAGGGCCTGGATGAATGCATAAGCACAATGAAATGAAGCTGGGGAGCCAATTTCCTTAGTGGCCCTTTTCCAGCAAAAGGCCCAGTTTTCTCAAATGAAAGATTTACAGTTGTACAGCCCTGAACCAACTATGGGTGGGATTTTGCTGATTCTTGTGATTCCCTCAAGGTGTCTGTCTTCTTCTTCCAGTCCTTAGGTTCTTTTTTGTTTTTTTGTTGTTGTTTTTTTAATGGTAGTACTTGGTTTCCATTTAATGATGCTGTCTTCAGCAGCCACACCTTCAGCTTTACCTATGGTTCTTTTCCAGCCAGAGTTTAAGTTTTTCAAATAGTTCTCTACTTTTTGCTCCCAATTCTCATCTCACTAAAACCCAACAGTTCCCATACCACAGCACAAACATTGGACTGCCTTGTAATTTCCTCCACCAGATTAGTTAGTCCATAGGCCTTAAACTCAGCCTTTCACAAAGTCTCAGAACATGGGCAAAATATGTTTGCCAGAATGTGACATTCATAGTCTCAGGTTCACTTACAAAATGAGCCCTCATTCCCAACTGAAACCTCAGTAGGCTGATCTTTACTGTGCATTCTTGTCAGCATTCTGGTTTTCTGAGCTCTGGCCAGAACTGTATTTCAGGCCCTGTTTACAGCATTCTTGGGCTTTTCTAGCTTTCATCTACAAACTTTTCTAAATTCTTCCCACAAACTAGTTCCAAAGGCTTCTGAACCTATAGTCAGGTATAGTCATGACAGTGACCCCACTTGTTTGGTACCAGTTTTCTACATTTTTGCTGGGACACATACCTGACACTCACAACTTAAAAGAAGATGGGCGGCAAAGCTCCTGCCTGGCAGGCGCAAGGTCGTGAGTTCGGTTCCCGGTACCGGAGAAAAACCAAAAGAAAAAAAAAAAAAGAAGATGGGTTTACTTGGTTTCAGAGGATTCAGGCCGTGATTGCCAGGCTCCAAGGTAGAAAGGCTTGACAGGGGAAAACTGCTCTGTTCATGGTGGCTGGGAAGCAGATCAGAGGAATGGTGCCAGGGAGAAAGGAGCCAGCAACCTCAAGTTCCATCTTCCATGACCCACTGAGACACATACAAAAGTATACTTTACTAGGCAGCTCCCAAACCAGTCAAGTTGATGATTAAGCTTAACTGTCACAGTTGCCAATTAAGGATCTAGAAAAGGGTCTTTGGTTAAACAGTGTGATTAGATTCAAAGTTCTTGTAAGTGTTACACAATATGATTAAATTCTGAAGTCCTTGTTACTTCTGTCCCTCCAAAACGGGTCAAACACCAATAATAATGGTTTCATTTATTATTGTGAGCAGGTGAGCACAGTAACTATGTGATATGTAATAACAATTTACATCATTATCCGAAGCTAAGACTTAGAAAAAGTTAGGTATTTGTGAGTCAATTTGAAATTGACTCACAAATTTCAATTTGGTGAATTTGAAATTGACCAAAGCAGAATCTGAACATAGTATATTCCACTATAAACTCTGAGTGCTGACTCGCTGTGTAACACTGTTTCCCACATAGAGGAATTCTGCTGCCCTTAGTTTATTCCTGATGGAAATCACCTCCTTTAGGATCGCAGTGGATTGTCAGAATTAAATTGAGATAATCTATGAGCAGATTCCTAGCTCAGTTTCCAAAACATGTTTACAGTGTCTTGATAATATGTGCCCAGATACTTATTATTCTTAAGCATATCAATTATCACCTTAGTTTTAGTGTTGTTGGTTGGTTGTTTTTACAGTCTCGCTATGTTGTTCAGGCTGGCCTTGAACACACTTGTGTAGCCTAGACTGGTCTTGAACTCATAGTGATCTTTCTGCCTTGGCCTCCCAAATGCTGGGATTGTGGGCATATGTCACCATGCCTGGCTTAATTTTAGTTTTTGCCTTTGAAATTCGGTTGGAATCAGTTACTATCTGATTTCTCCTTTTGTTGTCTAGTGAGTGACAGCCTTTTCCCACGAAGGATCAGAGAACTATGTCCTTAACAAAAAAAAAAAAAAAAAAAAATAGCTGGGGATTTAGCTCAGCAACACAGCGTCTGCCTGGCAAGCGCAAGGTCCTGTGCTCAATCCCCAGTGCAAAAAAAAAAAAAAAAAAAAAAATGTCCAAAAAAAAAAAAAAAAAAAAAAAGGACTATTTTCCCACTTTTCCTAAAGTTCATAATATCAATCTAGATAATCCTATCCTAGATGCATCATTTATTACATACAGTGGATACCTTAATACCTAAGGCTTAGGGATTAAGGCTTAATTTTCTCTTGAGACTTTCTTGTAAAGGTTATAGCATACATCACATCAGGTAGGTCTGCTATAAGAGTATAGATCAGATAATTGAGATTATTTATTACCATTGCTTCTAAGAATTTTATTAGACTGTGGAACATTATAGAATGTATCTCAATTTAAAAGCAATTATTATAAGAAGCTATTTTAAATACAACTTCTATGGTGATTTATAGACAAAAACACAAAGGTTAGAGTTTTGACAATGTAAAATCTTGGAGAGGGTGGGTGCCTCCTTACAGTTTGCCTTATAGATTGTTATTGGATCAAAAAGTGCTCTGATCTAGGAAAATGAAGTTGAAATTCATTTGTGTTTGTTTTTCTAAGTATTCCTTATTTTCCAAAAGTCATTATAATTTTTCCCCAAGGAGTACCATTATTTGTAAACAAATTTGAATAAAGGTAAATTGACTCTAATGTTCCTTAAGAATTAAGCATAACTGGGCCGGGGATATAGCTCATCAGCATAGTGCCTCCCTGGCAAGTGCAAAGTCATGAGTTCAATTCCCGGTACCACCAAAAAAAAATAAAAATAAAATAAGAATTAAGCATAACTGTTCTTGGCAAATCAGTGAAATTGACTCTGCCAAAAAATGTATACATCAGAAAAAGAAAAAAATTATTGAGATATCATGAAATTAATACAAGTTACATTGGGCCTCTACAATTATGAAAGATGCTCAAAGTGGTGGCCATTAGCTTCCAGACATTTACTAGTCCCCATGAGGTGTTGTATACATTTTTTTATGGACTCTTTTATCTCCTAGCCTTTTGGCTTATTTGTTACTGATTAAATGTAATCACCAGCATCAAATTATGGTGATTCCATGTTGGCTTCAGGGAATTCGTGAGTGCTTTAATTGAATAGGATTGGTTTCTTAGCCCCCAAATGTTCTTTAGGTTTCACTGATATTTTTTTTTATTTTAAAGAGAGTTAAAAAAATAACAGCATAGACAAAAACAAAGCAACACAAAAACAGTAAAAATGATACAGGGTTTTAAAACAAAATGATAGGAATGAACAATAGTTGTTATATTACATATTGTTATCTTCAACAAAGTTGCTCAGATGGTGTAAGAATGCAAGATTTATCAAACCATTAAAGAGAATGAAAAATAATAAAAACTATTAGAAATGATACAGAGCTTCACTAAACAAGATGGTAAGATTTACCAGTGGTTGTTACATTGCATATTGTTGTCTTCAAATTAGTTGTTTACATTACCAGGTATAAACATGCAAAATTTTACTATTTTTATATTTGAAGAATTGTGGGGGGTTGGCTTTGCCGAGGTGGGGGTTTGTTTAAGTTATTATAAAAGTAGAGTGGATTTATTATTATTCTGAGCAAGAAGGAGCTCAGTGATTCAACATTTAACGTGAATTTTACATTTTTTTTCTTTTAGGTTGACAATTGCATTTTTTGCACTCTCTGGCCTAGATATGTTGGATTCCTTAGATGTGGTGAACAAAGATGATATAATAGAATGGATTTACTCCCTGCAGGTTCTTCCCACAGAAGACAGTGAGTGAGTTTTTATCATTTTATTTTTAGTGTGACTGGTTATACTTGACATAGCAGGTGTTGCATTCACAGATCTTAGTGTATACTTTTGTACTGTTGACAAATTTTATGTTTGCATATTTGTGCTAGTAGTAACTATATTTTCCTTGTAATGTGACACTCCCATTCTGTTTAGATATATTTTGAGCCTAGTATCAGTCTCTTTACAGGACAATTTAGAGTTGTTTGGGATTAGAGAATCACAATTGTAGCACCACACTATGTTATATACTCCCACATTGATGCCTACTTACTTGTTTTCAGTGTTTTTGTGTGAGTAGTTCCATAGCATTCACTCTTGTCTTTCATTCTCAACCATCTTTTGGTCTCTTCAGTGAAAAAGTCTTTGCCATCAAAAAATTTTGTTTCAGTCTCCTGTGATATTTAATTAACATTTTGATAGTTTCTTAAAGCTCTTATTCTAAAGGCATTTTATACTTCTTAAAACTTAAAATTTTTGATGAATTATATTTTCAAAATGCATAAATTATAGATCAACTAAATATACATGTTTTATAAATTCTGTAAGTACTCTATTAAAAGTGTAAAATACCTAATGTAAATATGCATATTGTAGATTCTAACTTTAACGAGATCAAGCAGAGTTGGGGATATACTCACTGGTAGAACATGTACTTCGCTTATATGAGGCCTTAGGTTTAATCCCCATCACCACCAAAAATTTTTTAAAAATCCTCCTAAGAAATCATACATTTTCTATTACTGGTTACAATGTACTTGCCTTATAAGAGTCAGTACTTATAAATGAATAAATTGGAGAGATCATGTATAAATCTTCATCTAATGAATTTTGGAGACTTAATAAGTAAAAACTGTATTTAAAAAGATGAAGGTTTTGTATATTATCAGAGGACATTAGGTGACATTTGTGCCTTTCTACTTTATTCTTAAAGCTTGTAGTTTTTGTTTCTGTGTCATATTTCAAAATCTATACAATTTCACAAATTCTTGTTATGAGATGATTAAGGATTTCAAGCTTTTACAGAATTTGATATATAACTAATAACTTTCCACCAACTACATGAAGCAGCATATATGATAATTTTGTCAGTAGTCTTAGGTTCTAACATTGATGAGTAGAATGTATTGGATTTTTTATATGGATATTCTCCTAAGCCTGAGAAAAGTTAAGATACGACCATCCGTGTCTAGGAACCTAGAGCTGAGGCCTGGTCATACTACCAGTCACTTACAAAATAGAAGTAGTTTAGTATTATCCCTTTTGGTCAGAATTGTTTTTAATGGTTTTTTGTGAAAGTGTGAGATTGTTTTAAAACTTTAAATGCTAGGCAGATATAGTATAATTACAGGTTCTGCTTTTGTTTGGGGATTTTTTTTGCTAAAAATACATGCTATGATCAAGTAAAATGCTGACATTTCTTAAATGTGTTTATAGATAGGCAATTCTGCACACTCAGCACACAGAGAAGTTTTTTCTGAAATACGGTGATCCCACCAGGCGTGATGGCACATGCCTGTAATCCCCGCACTCATGAGGCTGAGGCAGGAGGATCATTGTGAGTTCCAGACCAGCGTGGGCTACAAAGTGAGCTCAAGGCCAGCCTGAACTGCATAGCAAGAAGTCTCAAAAAAAAAGACAGTGATCCCTCACCTGTTGTGGGAGTTACATGACAGAGACTCCCTCAATAGGTGAAAATCCACGAAGTAGCAGCATTATATTTGTTTTATTATTTATATATATTTTAAGGCTTTAGAAACCCTTACCACACTCCTCTAAACCTTTCCCACTCTCTTCTTAACCTTTCCCACACTCTTATAAACACTTCATATGCTCTTAAACACTTTCTGTGCTCTTAAACCTATGTAATTTTAGCAACGTGTAAAATCAGTGATGTGGACAAGGAGAGATGCTGAACATATGGGCACAGTGTGGGAGAGCAAACAGACGAATGCTGCGGTCGCTGAGCCAGTCAGCACCCAGGATACAGAACACAGTGCTGTGGTTGGTCGCCTTTCATTCCATCAGCCAATAGTATGCCGTGTTCAGTCTCACTTTGGTGAATTTGTGCAACTAGAAGTGGCATACTGCATTTCCATTATGTACAGTATGGTATTCATCTGCTGATGAAATTCAAATTGTATTTTATTTCAATATAATATTCTTTTAATATGTTTGAATTAACATTTTTAATATTTTTAATATTGTTGTAAACTTTTTAGGCAAAAATAACTCAATCATAAATATTATATAGGGGGCTGGTGATTTAGCTCAGCGGCACAGCGCCTGCCTGGCAAGCGCAAGGTCATGAGTTCGATTACTGGTATCAGAAGAAAAACAAACAAACAAACAAAAATCAATGAATAAATATTATATAAATACCTTTATGCTCCAAAATCCTGTGATATACAATTAGATTTTTTTTTAAAACCTTTGATAGAGTGAAGCCACAGTAAATGAACTGTGATATAGCGAGCAGTGACTGTATATCTTAATATTATTTTCATAAGATGTTACTTTCTCCTGAAATAAAAATGTTCTTTCTCCTGAAATAAAGAAATGTTCTTTCTCCTGAAATAAAAAAAAAAACCTTTGTCTCTATAGAAAAGTATAGACCATAACATTTTAGTGAGAGAATACATACCAGAATATTATTTATTTGCCATACTTTCTATTTGGCCTTTTTTTATATGTTCCTCTACTTTAAAGGATTAGTTGGTGGCTCCATGATTGAGCTGGTGTTTGGTCTGTTCTTTAACGTTTTTAACTTCACTCTATCATTTTATTAGTGAAATCAATTTTAGTAGCACTAATATTCATATTCTTTTTAAAGCCTTTATCTCATTGTTTAATTTTCTGTTTTAAGAGTATTATCTATAAGTTTCACATTATCCATAATTATTTGCTACGTACTAGAATGACTAAAAATGGAAAACATGGAAAATAAATATTGACAAGAACATAGCAAACTGGAACTCTTACATTGCTGAAATAGTTTTACAACTACTTTGGAAAACTATTTAGTAACATCTACTAAATGTACATTCTAAATGTGCCGTTGTACTCCTAGTATATTCTCAACAGAAATGAAAACATGCATTTACCAAAAGGAAAGAGACTGGGATGATCATAGCTGTATTTTTTCATGAGAGCTCAGAAACAGGAACCATACAAAAATCCATCATTGATGTAATGAATGAATAAGTAGCTTATTCACACAATGGAATACTATGCTGTAATGGGGATGAAAGACATACAGTTACATACAGTTACTTGGATAAGTGTCACAAACATGTTTTGAGAGAAATATATAATGTATTCTATTTACAGTACAAAATAGTTAAAGCCAGTTGTCGTGGCACACACCTGTAATCCTAGCACTGGGGAAGCTTGAAGCAGGAGGATCACTGTGAGTTCAAGGCCAGCCTGGGCTATATAGTGGGTTTAAGGCGAATCTGACCGACCTAGTGAGATCCTGTCCTCCCTGCCCCCCGCCTCAAATTCTATAAATTATCTGAGGTTTTGCAATATGACTACAAGGAAGAGGAGGGGCTCTTAGAATACTGGTCAGGTACTTTTTCTTTAAGTGTGAGCTGGTTATACAAAGAAACATTTGTTTGCAAAAGTTCATAAAGCTGTATGATTTTGATAGATGTACTTTTGTTAGCCTCATACACTTTGGTGAAAGTTTAAAATTTTTTTGGAGTTAGTTACACTTCGTCCTATATGTGAGACCCGTTAGAATTCTTTCCTATTGTGCCATCAGTTCCATGGACTTCGGTGGTTTGAAGTACACTACTAATAATTTTTCTTGAGTCTTTGGAAGTAAAAGTCATTTTTACTTCCATTTAAATTATAAACTTTTAGAGGGGAGAGGTATGTCTTCTCTTTTAACTCTTACTGTCTAAAATGTTGTGTACAAATAAATTGTTAAACT